CAGGAGCGATTTCGATGAAAACCTAGTAAAGCTGACCCGGCTCCACTATCAGTTGATGAGTAATTACGAGGATCCACGAACTGGATCGCGAAATCTGTAGGGTTAAGGAAATCTTTGATCAGATTTCTACAAATAGTGTGACCCATTACAGGCTGAGGAAAGCGGTACTGCCAAAACGATAGCTGAAAAAGTTCCAACAACAACCTCGTTCGAGTTCAAAACAAACTTCATCGAGTTTCGCACAGCGATGGCAGAGGCGTCGGCGGCCCAATCAACAGAGCCATGGTCTTGAATATCAACAAATCCATCAGGTGTTTGCTACTGAAGCGAGTAGACATAACTTCTGTTTTGATGGCAACACCAAGAAACGACGACTTGTTAAAGAATATATAGAACCGAAGATCATGGCAAAAATGACAAAGGTTACGATAAACCTGAGCTAGAATGGTTACAGAAGAAAATTTCTTAATAGACCGGGGATGACGCATGTAAAACGTTAGATTTCATCAAGATTCGCATCTTGGTCTATCACCCCAACGTGGTGGGATGGTGAAACGGGAGGAGTGTGGGAGGGTCCGGCTTCGAAATTTTAGCTTATACAACAATAGCAATTTAGTTTTTTTTCAATTCTTAGTATTTCGTAATGTGCTCAAATGCAAAGCTTCGGTGTTCTTGAGTCATGCAGGAGTTTATCTTGACCGACTTGAAGCTTCGCATTCGGAGCTGTGGTCAGGTATATGTGCGAGGAGCTGGAGGGATGATGGCCCCTTGCTTGGGTTCCCCTTGTCCGTCCGCTCGAGGTCGCGGTTGAATTCGTTTTTCACGCGTTACGTTGCACACAGCAAGCTCCGGTACATTACGCCTAACACTCTGCGTTCTGGACGAAGGACAAGGATTCGCTCGGGGAAGTACCTGCCTACCAAAGGGGAGGCAACCTGTTGCCCTGCCACATGCTTTCATCTTACCATCAGTCGTCGGCTTGCATGTCCTCAAGGCTCTCGCCAATGTTCTTCTATTGTTCGACGGAGCTTTGTGTTGGCGGTTTCATAATTTTTCTTCATTAACATTTATATAAAGCTGCATATATAAGTAACAGTTCAGCGGCACGTCTCCATGTCCAGACGGCTAAGAGAGGGACACCTCAGCGCCCTCGGATGCTGAGTGGCTATTGCCACGACGGCGAAGACTCAGCACTGGCCTTTCAATGGAGTTTCGAGACTCCAGGGAGCAAGCTTGATAAAACAGCAATAATATCAGTAATATTAGTATCCCACACACTGGCCCCAGCCGTCTCCGGCGTCGGACGGTATGGCAGCCGGTGAGAGGCGAAGAAATCGCAGAACGCTCTGGATCTCGAACCACGACAGCAACCTCTCTACAAGGCACGGAGACTATTTCCTACCTTACACCTCTAATGCAACAACAGTTTCTACCAATGCGGCAATTCATGAGCTTCTCGAGGCGACTAGTCAAGTCGTGTACCATGCGATTGCGCTGCAAAAAGTAGAACAAGAGCACCGAACTGCGATGAATGAATGACGGATCCCTAATCATTGAAAAACATAAACCACAAAACGTCAGCAGGGACCTGGATCTTCTCCCCGAACGGCGTGTCGTGCTTGCCGCACGAGATCGCACGTTGTGATGGGGAAGATTCGAATTCCCAGTGGAAGGATACAGAGAGTCGCCGCGGAGACACTGCCGCAGGCCGTGGAAATACGGAGAGAAGTTCCGTTACCCATGTCAGCAGCCTTGGTTTTGTCGTCCACCCGTCTGTCGTCCATTTTGCCGATTCTCATGAGGTTCTCTCTCCTAGCTTTGCCATCCTACGCCTACGACATGCGCCCCTGTAGACCATCACTATCGTCACCTGCTACTCTCCACCCTCTACAGCTGACGAAATCGAGCTCGATGCGTCTTACGACTAACTTGAGGAAATCATCTACAACGAAAAGATCTTACAAGTTCGTTGTTGGAGGTTTCAACGCTAGGACTGACGAAGCATCAGATGAGGAGAACAGGACTGGAAAGTGTGGAATGAGGGACAGGATTGAGAATGAAACCCGTCTAGCTGGACTTCCGTCCACTGCTCGACTCTTCCTTGGAAACTTTTTTGTTTCAGAAGAAGGAATATCACCGCTGGACATGGGAGTCTCCAAATGGTACAACTCATGCTGAACTGGACCACATATTAACAAACAGAAAGTGATGCTTGCTAGATGTTGGTGTGGTAATCTTTCTGCAGTGGTTCCGATCATCGACTTCTTCGCGCTAAGATTAGATTCAGTCACAAGCTGGAAAAGATCTCTCAACATCGCGCGAAGAGCTCGAAGCATGTTGTATACGACGGAGATGTTCTGAATGACGTCTTGTCCCAATATGACTGGAAGGTCTTGGATGACCCCACCGAAGACTACGACGCGCTGGTTCGGGGTCTCCTCACTTGCGCTGAACAGGCCAAACTTCCATGAGTGGATACCTCCGTTCGCATTTCAGATGCGACGAAAGATCTTCTCAGGACAAGAAGAAGCTTGACCAAAACGCCACGCATCTTGAAAGGCTGCAAGCGAATATCAGCTGCAGACGAGCAGTGCGGCGAGACCTTCAGCTATACAGAGAGAGGAGACAACTTTAAGCAACCCTGCACAGAACCAGTCTGAAAAATACCGTCTGGTTCTTCAGGACCACAGTATTTACCTTTCGTGTTTGAGGAAGGAGGACGGAACATTTGCAACATCGAGATTTGAGATGGAAGAAGTTACACAGAGGTTTCACAACAACCTGTATCGATCCACGACACACGTGCGAAAACCCAAAATCCCCACTGGCGGAAAAGCACTTCGGACCCTTCCTTCGGAGGTGGGAGTTACGATTGCGAGTATGAAAACGGGCACAACTCCAGGCCCCGACAAGATCTCTCAGCCGACCTATTCCGTGGAGGTGGCTACAAACTTCATGCGCTTCTCGCAACACATATGACATCCTACTTCGGAAAGGAGAAGATTCCAAACCAGTGGAGGAACTCGCGGATGGTCATTCTTCAAAAGAAAGGAGTCCGGGATGATCTTCGCGACTACCGCAAAATAAGATTGTTGAGTGTGCTTTACAAGCTGTTCAAGAAGACCATTCTAACCCGCATATGGCGAACTTCGAATGAAGCTCAACCTTTTGAACAGGCCGGACTCTGCAAGAGATTCAGATGGTTAGACCACGTCCAAGCGGTCCAATGGTCATAGAATTGGGCCGAGAGTTCCTCTCGTTCTTACCTTTGTTGACTATGTAAAAGCTTTTGATAGCCTCGAAACGAATGCGGTCCTGTCAGCACTGGCCGATCAAGCAGTGAACCTTCCTTACATAAGAACACTGGCTGCCTGCAGCAGTCGCTGCAGCGCGACTGTGGAGCTGTTCCAACGACCTCTCCCCATTCCCATAGGGAAGAGTGTGAGACAAGGCGACACTATTTCGTCGAAGCTGTTAACAGTCGCGCTGCAGTGGGTTATGAAGTCGCTCGACTGGGACGAATAGGGCATTCGTGTGGATGGACGTTCAATCTCAAATCTCCGCTTTGCAGACGGCATCGTTCTCTTTTCAAGCAGCATTGCGGGAGCTGAGACCAAGTTTGCTGAAATCAGGAAGGCAGGAAAGAAAGTAGGGTTGCAGATCAATCAAACAAATTCACAGTTCACGAATAATGCTTGGGCTGACGAGGGTCAAATGAAGATGATGGCACATCTATCAAGGACACCTCGTCTTACGTTTATCTCGGGCGTCCCTTGAATATGAACAGCGACACGAAGGAAGAACTGGTGAGATGGCAGAAAGCAGCGTGGGCAGCCTTCGTACCTTTGAAAGAGGTCAACAACCATCTGGCTGACCCGAAACTTCGCGCTAAGCTGTTCGATTCCTCAGTTCTTCCTGCGCTCTGTTACGGGTCGGAGACTTGGGCGACCAGTGCATCCACGTCAAGGGCTCTGAACGCAAGTCACAGAGCGCTCGAGCGATATCTTTTAAGATTCAACCGGCTCACCCAAAATCTAGCCGGACTCCGCAGCTCCAATATGCGCAGAATGTCTCGACTCCGTGATCCGGTGGAATGCACGAAGAACGCAAAATTTTGGTGGGCCGGTCATATAATGAGAAGAGATGACAACAGATGGACAAGAAGACCAGTCGAGTGGGCTCCTATAGGATTTTCGCGATCCAAGGGTAGGCCTGTGAGATGGGGATGTGCTCGTCGATCACGTGAAACAGCTGCGACCGCAGCTGAACGACTCCTTACTAGTCACCTTCGTCGAATCCTGAGTCAACCGTGGATGGCGATCGCGAAAGACAGAAGCGAATGGTTTGTTGCTGGTGCTCGCACATGAGTGAAGACGAACCGTATAAGTATAAGTAAGTGTAAGTAAGTATCCGGCTCCGTTCGCTGAAACAGCCCGTAGTCCTCCCAGCAGTACGGTACTCCAGCCCACAGAGCCAAGCTAGTACAAGAGTGGTGTCGATCCCCACTGCCGACCTCATTTGCGTAGAAGAATTATCATCCTGTTCTCTGAATCTTAACCCACTTGAATCTCTTGTATGGACCATGATTAGAGGAGAACCTGACCGATTTGCAACTCTAGTTTGGAATCGCGAAAGCAAGACTCAGGAACGGCCGGGAAGAATTGGAGGAGGAGTACCCTCGTGCAACATACGAAGAGTTAAAAAACAGGCATTAGATTTATATACAGAGGGTGTTTGGGTGTTATTAGTGGGAGAACAAGCATATTATTGTATTGACACATGAGAAACATACATTAGAGAAATTAATACCCTCATAAAAAAACATGTCTGAACCAAGTTTCTCGAAATGAGTTTCCTGCTTTTCATACAGACTAAATAGCATAAGTCTGCAGAGACGAGAGACACTGTTTTGTCAAGTTAAAAGTCATAAGTAATTTACTTTTGTAAAAGCAGCTTCTCTGTAATTTTTTGACAATGCCCTTCCCAAGCTCTTCTCAGAACTACCTCGACTTCCGTTGCTTCGAATATGATTCTAGTATGAGTCTACTACTGTTCAAGACAACGTATATAATTATGGAACGTACCTTATGCTCATCGTAAATCCCGAATTCAGGAGTGACACCGGTTTCGTCAAGAAACTTTACTCGACGCTTCAGAAACTGACGCAAACCTTTGACCTCTGATCGTTTGGTGTATACGATTTCCACCTAGAATGAGTAACACATCTTTCGTGAAATACATGGAAAACCGTGAAAATTATATAATTAATACAGGGAATGACACTGCTCAGCTTTTCATGGAAAATCATTCCCAAGATTACTCCCCTGTTCGCAGTGACAGAACCACGCCGTAACTCAAAGGACTCAAGATTGATACTGAATAACTGATATATGTATTTGATAATAATATACAATAATAATGATATTGGAAGATTGGTATCGAATTGCAAATGCAAATATATCTATTTCACCAGATGCGACCATTTCAACGCACCGTATGATAATCTGGAATTGGGTGGCATGAAGACGTAGCAAACTATCCGCTGTCCGCAAAATCGTTTGTACATTTGCCGCACGAAGATGAGATAGCACAGAGTTTAATTAGGGGAAGCTGCACTTGAACAGTGTTCCAGGTCTGCGCTGTGGCTAGAGACAACTGGCATAGCAAGGGTACGCTCATTGTCGACTTTCTTGCGTCCTCTCAACTAGGCAGCGATTGGTGTTGGTATGCATGCCGTCTTGAAGACAGCACTGCCAAGCCTCCCCAGCCAGTGGCCGAACCGAGTGGTCCCTAGTGAAGCCTGCACTGCTCCTCGAAATCCCCTGCTTCGACAAAAACAGACTACTATTAATTCTTCATTATTCCGAACTATCGTGAAAAGGATCTGAACCAAGCTTCACCCATCGCCATCTTGTTGGGACTAGCGGAGAATAAGCGCGGTTTTGCTTGACTGGTGGTGATTGCTAGAAGCCAATTGATGAGCGCGATGAACTTCACGAAATGGCGAAAAGATGATGATCGGCACCTCGCCACTCCGCCACTCCGTGAAGTTCACCGCGCTTCTCAGAAATTATGCTGGAGCTTCAGGACGCGCGTACGTACGCGACAAACATTTGTTAGTGGTCTCGCGGTATCAAAATACAATGACCGTAATCGCCCATAGAGTCAATCATCCGTACCACAATCACTCAAATACATTATAGACATAGCGCGGTGCAATCGTCCGACGAGACCTACAGAGCGAAAGGCAGCAGGTGCATCTTCCGCCGCCTGCGTGCGGCTGCGTTGTGGTTTTAATTGGCCCTTTTATTTCCCTAGCATTGGAGCGCAGCACAGTTTGCGTGCCATTCTCAGAAATGCACCGCATGACCCCTAAGCTGCCCCACCACCCGCCCCATGTCCTTGCCCAAGACCCCTTTTCCATGCGTCGTATATGAAGCGAGTGAAAACTTGTGCATTCATAAAAGGTTGTGCCGTGAATTCAAATATATTGTCTACAGAAATTCTGCGGAATTCGGAGGATGCTCTTTGATGTCTTCCGCTATGTATGGCTGCTCTCATGGTCCGCCGGCCGGCCGGCCGGCCGGCGGACTATGAAAGCAGCCTATCGCCACTCCATTTCAGCGGCACGCAGCCGGTGCAGCGAGAGTGGCACGCCGCTCAAGTATAACATCTCATTCCTTCTGGATTACGTAATGATACAACGCACAAAACCAAAGGGACAAGGTTCATAGAGTAGGATAGAGCACAGGTCAAAGTTGCTGACACTCATTGCTGAAAATTTCAGTGAGGACCCGCTACCTCCATTATCTGGTCCAGGTGAACAGAACCGCTGAATAACAGAAAGCAATCATCCTGATGACAGGCAGCTTGGAGGCGCAATGCTTCCGCTGTGTCTTCGAAACCATCACCTCTTTCTAAGCTTAGTTCTGAATTTTTTCACATTCCATCATTGCCGCTAGCTCTCATGGAGTGTGATTAAGGCTTCACTGGAGCCTCATTCAACCCCTTCAAATCAAAATCCCACGAAAAAATGTGCTATGACTAATACCAAAGCATGAAACAGAAAGGAGCATAGCTGAGTTGGAGCAGAGAGTCAATGTGCGATTCTCGATGACAGAAATTCGATAATTCGCTTCAAATATAAGTGCGCGTTCGGGTGCTTCACTTGACTGTTTTACTTTACTCAATCTTTCACCAGTTATTTATATAAAATGCTTAGTTACCACAGAGTACAGCTTTTCAATGCGCTCTATAGTTTGACTGAGAGGGAAAATGTCATGTTTCCGTTGAATTAGCGACTCGAAATAATAAGCCCTCCTTGACTCTTCTAATGTTTGAAAACTTCACTCTGAGAGGAAACAAGTTGTGTTTATTGGTCGATTGAACAAAAATTCAGTAATTGTCTTTAAAGAGTGATTGATAGGAAGTTACACTGTGAGAGTATCTTTCTATCGATATCGATCAATACCCTACACATGACTTATCCAAATCCTTTCTGCTTATAGGAAGTTGACTTGTGAAATCTTGGTCTATTCAATAACAAATCGATGTTTATCGGTGCGAACCGACCGAATCCGATCTAGAGGGTGCGCCATAGATATGGCAACACTTTTCGGACGTCCGTAATTTCATTGTTCGGAGGGTTTCTCCGAATCTGCACCTCCCCTTATGTTAATGATATCCCTTAGCCCACACATCTACTTTGGTACTCTCAATCCCTCAGATTTCGAGAAACATTGGAGCCTCGCAGACATCCTCCGACCGCTCGACTTTGCAAGCATCTTGTGAGTCCTTTTCCGGATTTGTTCCTCACTTAAACATTTTTTCCCACACGACAGTCTCTTGAATCGCTTTGCGTAGACTGGTCAACAACAAACCTCAATACAGTCATCTTGTCTCACATTCGACCCCTTTTCCGCACACAATTGCTTGGGAACGAGTACGCAGCGGAACATGCAGAAAAAGAAGGAAAATGGCTGCTGATTTGCTTGTATGTTCTAATCCGGTGGGCAGAGTCTATCCAAACAAGATTCGAAAGCCGTTTAAGCTTTTTGAAGAGAAGAAACTGAAGAGTAAAAATAAATGCCGTGCGCTACATGCGCGCGGCCCGCGCTTTGACACACTTTTCTCTGACAAAAGGGCTTTCAGCGTGGAAGAAACGTTGAGATCCCATAGTACACGTATATCTCACACTACGAGTGCTGAAGCAGCTGAGAAGAGTCAGATCGCCTCTCGTAGCCATTTTTCCTCTTTCGTAATGGTTTGGGCTAGAATCTCTACCATCAAAGCGCTATCGGAAATTTTGGTCACGAAAAGTAAAAATTTAGTCCGAAACCCTTCAGGAATGATGTTTCTGGAAGAATTTAGCCGAGTGTCAGAGAAATTTTGGGGATACGGTTCGAAAACTATGGTGCACTTGCTCATGAATGGGAAAAGGTCAAGACTGGTGCTGAGGAAACGTTTGCGCTTTATCCCAGCTTCTAATCCTCCCATGAATTTCCCTGACCACAATGTGATCGGTCGCTGGATTTAGTCTATACTGGAAAGGGAAGCCTGCGCTCCATAACGCACCACTGTTGTTGCTTCTAAGACATCAT